GATTGAGGGGTGGGGAGATGGCTACGAACAGCCAAAGCATTTTCTGAAAGAGAGAAATCCAGAAGGTTCTGGAATCGGATCCGGAAGATCGTCTTTCATACTCGGTAGATGTTTAAAGAAGGCCTTCACGGCTCCAGCAACACCATCCTCGTCCTTCATCGCCTTTGCTAGCGTCTCTGCACTGCTCTTCACCTGTTCCCACTTAAATGCTCAGTTTCATTTGTAAACAAACCCATGGCTTCGCCATGAGCATAACTAGGGATGGGCATATAAACCAAATCGAAATGCTTAGACCGAAACCAAACCAAAATGTGTGTTAAAGCCCGGTTGGTTTCTGAAAGTACTGTTTACCTTATCGTCAAGCATGAAATTTATGGCATCTTCAAGCTTATGAAGTGAGAATTCGTCCACAGGGATCGGTGCAGGACCTACTCCTCTAGCATGCACTCGTTCTCCCCAAAAAGGTTGGTCTCCAAAGAAGGGCACGATCGTAGTTGGGCACTGTGTTTAAGAAAAAAAGCAAAACGCTTTCATATTAACTACTAATGTCCCATCTCAAGAAATAGACTTTAGCTTATACTCAAATTAAACTTACCGATGCTTTAAGACCTGCAGCCGTTGTTCCAGCACCACCATGATGCACCTGAAAGCAGAAGAGTAACAAATTCAGGGTACGATGACACAGAAAATACTGATCCCAGATAATGAGCAAATTGTGACTGGGTCTAAAAAATGGTATGAGAGAACACAATGTCAAATTCAACAAGATAAGTAACAAGATGTTCAATGACTAAACTACATGGACTTCCAGATTGTTATAGACATACCACAGCCTTGCATCTCGGGAATAACCAGTCATGTGGGACATTATCCAACAAGTAAACGAAGTCCTTGGGTTCTTTCACTGTACGAACACCACATCAAGCATTTATTATTATAATATATACCAAAGAGGCAAGCATCCAATATAAGAAAGGTATACGGACTGAAGAAAGGATAGACTTACAGTTTCCAAGGCCACCCCAGCCTTTGTTGATAATTCCTCGCTGTTTGGTTCTTTGAAGTGCTTCCACAATGATCTCTGTCATTTTCTCTGGTTCTTGCACAGGCTATACCACGAGTAAACAGAAAGTTAATTTCACAGCCATAAATAAAAAGTTCGAGCAATGAGAGGATCCTCTAGAAATACTACACATCATGACATCAATTCAATTGGTCTGTGGAAAAAAGTGGGAAAAAGAGACTTACAAGACTACCAAAGCCGATATAAATGGGTTTATCACCAGCTTCTAGCCATTCCACAAGTTCTGCAGGAGGTTCATAATTTGATGCAAGATCAAGGAAGCAAAATCCCACTACATCAATTTGTGGCCCCCAGTCTGGAAAAAAATGAAAAGCAACGATCTAAATAAGTTGCTATTCATAAAAAAGAAAAGCATCATCATTTCAGTAAGCTCATACGCTATACTACCTTTTGGCTTTGGGACAAGATGAGGACTCCACATATATCCATGCGGTATATTAGAGCCAGAGCCTTGTGTTCCACTTAGATAAGTAACAGGCCGTAGCTTCAACTTCTTTTTCCTAAGATCATTCACCATGTCTCTTATCCCAAGCCAGATCAATGAGTCGACGATTTGATACGAAAGCTGAAATTGCAATAAGTCAATGTTGAACGAAAAAGTCAAGTTAATAGTAAACAACAATCAGATAATATGCGAATAAACAAGTCTCACTCTGTATCCTGCTGGTTGTTTGACACGTGACAAGGGGTGTGGAAATTCACTGGTTGGCCTGGATCATTATTTCGTAGTAGAAAGATAGTCAATGATTCAGAACAAAAATAATTAAAAAGAGAATTTGTTGCCAATACAAGACTTACGTCCATGGCATGGTGAAAAATACATGAATCGGTATCTTCAGCGCTTCTGCCACATGGGTATGTCCTGAAAATGGTGATTCCCAAATTAGTTGCCATTTAAGCCGGGAAGCCAGCAAAACAAAACCTCTCAGACTATAGCTCTCATCTATTTTCTGCCAAGATCTGAGTTTGCAAACGGTTATTTTCTTAACGGTGCACACTCCCAAGTTGTGAATGACATTGCAGATGTACAAAAGTATCCCGTAGTTTAAAAGTTGCTGAAACTAACCATATGCTGGAGGATTGGCAATAATTGCATCAGCTTTAAAGGAAATCCCAGAATCTGGATCAGGTTCTTTACATGCTGGAAGTAGAGAATATATGATGTCCTTCATTTGGTTTCGTTGAACTGGGATCTCTGAAGGGCCTGATGGCAAAAATCCCTTGTTCTTAACCATATCTGTACACAACATAGCAAGGAAACGGTTGAGTTGCTGACAACTTTTAATGCTAAAATAGATTAACTAAGCAGGAACAGGAAGAAGAAAGAATGGGAGTGTTTGGTAGATACATACATTCGGCTAGCACTTTCGGATCTCCGCCTAAAGGATAGAACTCCAGCCCAGCAGTCAAAACAAACTCTTTAAAATTTGCATGAGTTGCAAGTCTAACTCTATGCCCATAGTCCTGCATAAATAAAATGAAAGCAGTCAATTACTTTCTCCCTAACAATTTAGGTTCAGAACTTCCATTACTTATCCAAATTTCTACATCAGTCTTATGAACATGAAAGAAAAGAGAATGAAGAGGCATCTACTGGACCTCCACTGAATTCACAAGATCAGTAAATGTGCAACTATTTTAAGGAAGTACAATATTGTGTTCAAATGAAAATATCAGCCAACCTGAAGCCGTTTGGCTATTGCAACAAAAGGTTGAACATCTCCTCGTGTGCCAACAATTAGCATCACAATCTGCATAGGAGGAATGTACTGTAAGTCTACCCCATCAATAGACTCATCAGGGGAAACACCGTTTTTCGATTCTTCACGGCCTACAACAATAGGTTGTGGGATAGCATCTGCTGGAACTTCAAACTCAACAGTCCCATCATGTTTCACAGTAGCTATACGGTTCAGCAATTTAAGCTGCAAAAAGACTTACTGTCACGGGAAAGAATTAAAGACATTCCCAAATGTAAACTACTTTTGTAAGAGTGAGAGTAACATAGCCCAGAAAAGTAGGATTCCATAAAAGAAATGTGGATTCAGAGTCAGAGTCAGAGAGAATTCAATATATAACGGGATAACTAAAAATAGAAGCAGGATAAAGAAGAAAACCAACCCAAAAATAGACGATTTGTACCTTCTTCCCTGCAGAGATTTTGTCATCGAAAATCTTTGCGGCATCCTCGGCAAGAATGTGAGTAACTTTTTGTTGTCTCTCAGTCTTTGATTTATCTAACCTAGGACCTGTTGATGATGATGATTCTGCCCTATCACTGCTTGAAGAACCTTCCACAGGCATTGTCCATACTCTAGAAAAGCTTTTACTACCAGTACCTGAAAGAAAACCCAAAAGTGAATGAATGCTCAATAACGTCAAAGGGTTAAATAATCCAAACCCAACAAAGATCGACAAAGAAATCAACATTTAACCTAAATTGTTTACAATCCAATCCAGCCATTTCCGCTTCGATTACCTGAAGATTCAGCAACGGCGTTATCAGCAATGGAGACAACAGCAGTTTCCGGTTTGCTCTCAAGTTCTTCAGAGCCATTG